CGTAGAACGAGCCAATGACAGCGCTACATCGACGAGGCCGCGACACACACAGAAACCTCCGGCTAGCTGCGGAGGGTTGGATGGAGAAACGCGAACAGAAAGAAAGGGAAAGAGCACGGAAGGGGGTGGCTGAAGAGGGAAACGCAGCCAGAGGGTCGAAGATGGCGAACCAGAGGAGCGACACGATGTAGGAGGCTTCGAGTGTGCCAGGAGAGAGTTCTCTTCCTCGAACTGGAAGCTACGAGTACTACAGATGTAGCTGTGCAGAGGCGGGAGTAAAAGTGGCAGGCTTCCACCTCCCTCTTGGAGGATGGTGGAAGAAGAGGTGGAGATGTAGGGTGGTTGGAAGCCCACCTCCTCCTCCTCCTCCTCCTCCTCCTCCTGGATATGGAAGATAGGTAATAGAGGGTTTTCAAGGGGGTAGGGAGGGAAACCGGGGATGGACGGTCGAAAAGATGGAGAGAAATAGATGGATAGAGAGAAGAGAGACACTGGGTGAAAAAAGAGGATTGGAGGGGAGGGATGTGACGCTGTCGTCACCCAGGAGCTCTCAACGTTTCTCTTCGTTCCTCTTACGGCGAGTGCTTCATAGGGTTTGAGGGTGGGAGGAGATAGAAGGGAGAGAATGACGCAGGTGCCGCAAAGCTTGACACGTCTCCGGGCTGTTTTGTCACCTTCTTTTATCCTTCGAACTTTTTACAAGCTGCCTCGTTAGAAGCTTGCTCGCGGCGTTGATGGAGTAAGCCGGCGGCGGACAAATGCGTTTTAAAATTACGACAACCCCCTCCGCTCCCGGCTGATGTCGGAGAACGACGAAGGCTGACGCCCCAGTTAGTGTACCTCTGCGATGATATCCGGGGCTTTCGCGGATTATTCGGTTGCTTCCAGATAGGTTTTCATTTTGGATTTCTTTGATTTTGTTACTATTTTCGTTGAGTTCCACAGGCTGATTATTACGACATTGATTTATGAAAATTTTCTGATTCATATTCGACGTTGAGCTGGCCTTGATAGGATCGTTATTAATACAATTCGATACACATTCCTTCACGAATATTCTTCGATTCGTGTGGTTGTAGAACAAACGATCGATATTCGATTCGGATAGTGAGATTTGTGCTTGTAAATTGGAATCTATTTTGTTTGTGTTTGGTTAAGTTTGGTGGTATGGTTGTTGCAATGGTAATTTAGATAAATTTTAAGTATGATTCTTGTCTTTTACCGATTTGGAATTTCACGAAAGTTCTCATTGATTTACGCTACCGTTTCAAAAATATTGATACGCTGTGATTACGATACTTGGAATGTAATTATCATCGACAGCTCGAGAGTTCGTATTTCGTACACGTCGTATCTTAAGAAATTACCAACCCTCTTATTCGAACCTCGAAATATCCAGTGTATGACAATAACAATATCATATGCCATATTTCTACCAAATCTTCATTATGAATATCGCAGTCTAACTGTACAAACTACAATTCGTACCATTATGATTTTAATAAACGATTTACGATCATCTACATGCAGATAGGACATTAGAACTTTCGAGCTTCTTGAAACCTTCGAATTAACGATGCAAAATCAGTTGCAATAAATTACAAATTAGAGCGGCGAAAATACACATGGAACTGAAAGGGAAGAAAAAAGGGGCACGACGAATGAAATAATAATTTCAGCGTGGATATTCTCTATCGAAAGGGATCGAGATCGAAGCAACAAAAAGTGGCCGGTCATTAAAACGGATGATTTTTCGAGGTTGTAATCCGCGCTTAAACGTTTAAGCCGACAAGGAAATATTAAACGATGGCGGCCGTTAAAAACACCGGGCAGTTTAAGTTGATTTTACTTTTTATCGCGACGTAGTGTACCCTCCCCGCTGCCGTTCGTTCCATCATTCACGGATTAATATCGGGCGCCGAGCTCGAAAACGCTTCAACTGTTATGAATTTTTATTAACCCATCTACATCTGTTACTCATAATTAGCCGGGCGCTCGCTTAAATCATCCGGACGTTTTTATCGGAGATTAGCGTAAAGTTTATTAAAAGCACCGCGCGAAACGCCACATTCTAACGTTCGTACGCGCCTAATTTCTCTCAAACAGATTTCACCTTGGCTACGTTCTTCGGATCATTCTCCATTCAATTGTTTCGCGTTCGACCATGCTACAGCTTTTCTTGATTATGTTTTTTTTAAAGAAATACCTTCGTAGTCGAGTAATTTGAAAATATCCAAAGAATCTTATCTTAATATTAGTATGCATGATTTCTCGCTTCAAGTTTATATCAAGCATCTCCTTAAAACGTTACAAATACTATCTGTTTCTTGAAACGAGAAGTATAAAAATTCCAGGAGTCTGGCAGCGTTGAAAGAGACACGAAGGAACAGCTATTAACACGCGTAATATCTTCTTCGTTTAAAGATATTTCTTAAAGTAACGAAAATGGAAATGAGAATCAAATCGGAACGAAAAGAAAAGATTCGAGGGTCGTTTCGAAAAGCTAACTCTCTCATCTTTCGTTCTATCTATAATCTACGAAGGAAGATTAATCGTAAATGAAAGAAGAAGAAAGTTTAACATATCCAGCGTAATAAAGTACAGTAATCAATAAATCGATTAAGTATATAAATCATTGAGACAGCTGTAATTTGCATCGAAAGATGCTCTATTTGACGAACCAAAAAACGTATGTTTCCCATACGATGAAACCTATCGCGAGGAACTCGGATATTATTTTCCAATTAACCACCTAAATACTTACACAATTCTACGCAAGAAGACCAGTTAATATACACCAATCTTGCCGTAATCTCCTAAAGCAAACCCTACCGAAACCTATCAGAGACCCAAACCCACATAAACTCATCAAGAGTCCAGCCAAGACACACTAACGACCCTTTAATCGCCCTAAAGCAGAGCTACCCCTAAAAACAAACGAAAGAAAAAGAAGTAGAGAAAAGATAGGAGAAAAATCTCTCTGAACACTCTTACCTTGACTTGCGATTCGGACATGCCCAGGGCGTAGGCCAATTTAGCACGTTCTGGTCCAGCTAGGTATTTCGTCTGCTCGAACGTTTTCTCAAGAGCGAAGATTTGCTGGCCGCTGAACGTCGGCCTGGTGTGTTTCTTCTTGCCGCCCTCGTGTTCGCCGGTTCCACCGGAGCCTGTCATCGTTTGCTGACAACCCAGCTGTTGCGACACTGTAACATCGATATCTTCCAGGGATTCTCTTCTACTGAAGGGTAGCGATGGGCTCAAATAGATCGCACGTACTGTGCAGAGGCGAGGCGATGGCTAGGCAAAGGAGTTCGCCTCTGATTATTTCTGTTAGGCCCAATAGAATCCTAGGGATAAGCACGCGTATTGACCGAAATGAGTTTCTAAGTTTAAGCATAAGTTATATTCGATATGTAAAAGAATTTGAAATAATATTAAGCGTAATCTACGATAAGTGAGAGAGAAAATAGTACAATGCATCGAAAGCATTGTTGTAGAAGATTGTATGATTATTTGTAATTATATAAAAGTCTTGAAAACATCGTTTTCGAAATATAAAGCGAAAAATTTTGTCCGGCAGGAAACTTGGAAACTATTACATGTCACGCAAAAGAAAGTTTAAACGCAAAGTGGTACAAAAAAATGTCATAATCTTGTAAAATAAATTTGACAAAGAGCAAAGAGTAAAGTACTTGCGACGTACTTGAGCCCATCGCTATTCTCTTCGTCGCTCCAACAACATCGGCTCCCTTTCTAAGGAGTCGTTATTTCTATTCATCCGCCCGATAGTTACGAAAAAAATGAATGAAAAAAAAAAAGATGTCGGCTACTACGAGCATCCGGTACAAAGAGAACAGAGATCGTTGCGGGTCGTTCCCAAAGAAAATTGGAGTCAGTGACGTTTTCCTCGATTATGAGGATTTAATAATAACTTCGGAAGAATTAAGTTCAGGTTCTGGACAAATTGTGTTTAGAATTTCGAGAAATTAGGAATCGAATTATACGTTTAGAATTTCGAGGAATTGGGAATTTCACATGTTTGTAATTTTGTGAAACATTTTACTGGAACAGTAAAATTATCACGAAACTTATCGAACCAGTCGGAGTCGTGGTCACTTTTATCAAGCAATTAATCTTCATCAATTTTCCGTCATTCTTCTTGCCATGGTCCGCGCGTTTCGTCCCCGACGATTCACATAGGCTATCGATAATTACGTCATAAATTTACATCTCGTTACACGCCAAAAATGTTCTGTACGACATATCTATTGAAAACCATCCAATTATTCCACGATAACACGTCACGATTGCAACCTTTTGCGGTATATTCGATCCTCCACTTCATTTACCTCGTCGACGTTAAAAACTCATACTAATCGCAAGAACACATTTATTTTGGTTATCGTAGAAATAAGCCGAGGAGCAAAAGCTTAGGGAACTAAATACGAAGGAATTTTTTGAAAGCAGAAAGAAAATTATTTTTAAACATAGAAGAATACCGGGATTAAGATATTTTTAGAGTAAACGATAATTATACAATTTTATTATTAGATCGATCCACGTCAAGTGTCTCTTGGGTGTTTAAATTTGCCAGGTCAATATCATTCGTTAAATTTCGCCCTCTTGTCACTTATTATATATCAAAGAAGAAAATCTCCAGAGATCACGGCGAACGGAATAATTTTTTAATTTTAATTTTTTAATAATTAACGTTACCAGTTCGTACTTTTACTTGTGTTTTTGTCAATTACAATTACGGAGGAAATAAACAGGATCAAACCAAATACTGTTCTACATGGAAACAAGATTTTACTAGCTAATAACATTAGTTTAAATATAACGTAAAGGGGCTCGTGTAGACAAATGTTCTCTACACACAAGGCAATTTTTCTACGTTTATTTGATTATTCGAATCAGACATAATATTCGAATGCAAACTCTTCAGATTCTTGTTCTTGCTTTAATTACAGAAACTTGAAGTCTTCTAGTTCAAGATTTTCTTAAAACCACTACCTGCAAATAGATGGTATATTAATAATTGATATTGCAGTATCAACACTATTTTTTCCAATTTGTACATTTCAAATAAGAAATATCATCATGATGCCATAGAAAATCGTCCCACTAGAAAAAAAGGGGAGATTACGGTTTAATTTGACGGAATAACGCGTTTCAAGGGTTAAACACTTGTGCGATAGACCGCAATGATGGCGTCTCGACGGGTGTCGGCACGTGACTGCCACGTGGGTTCGCTGTTCCGCAAATAACCAGACTTTGTTATCGTTATCCTTGCCTTCACGGCTGATCCTGCTTACTTCTGTAGGGATACAAGATCCTACGGAATAGATAACGCCGTTGAATAGAACGACACGTGACAGAGGGTGAGATTGGCCTGGAATTATCGCGACGGAAACACGTTCACAGACGATCTACCGCGAAAAATTGTGATTAGTATGTATCTTGGGGTTTCTAGTTGATGCTGCGAGGTAATAGCCTGGAAAATTCGCAGGAAATCGCGCGAACATCTAATTGATAGGGATACAGAGGAAAAATAGCATTTTCGGGAAGTCAGTTGGTTGGACTTTGGTAATTTTCAAGGCTAATCGTATTTGATTTTTGGAAATTTTAATTCCTTCGTTTTGAGATTTTGGGAGAGTTCGGTGTATGCAAGAGCACGGTAAGATACGTCCAGCTGGTTTTCAGTAATTTCGATGAATACACGGTCGAGCTAATTGAATTAAACTGTAATTTAATTACGGAATTTAATTACATTGTACTTGAATTACACAGTAATTACGTATATTTACGAGTAATTAGATAATTCAAACTTCTCAATTAATTACATAATTCGAACTTTTCCAATTAATTCTATCGCTAATTGCCGTGATCACCAGTGTAATTGAATTACTATGTAATAGCATACGATGTAATTGAATTACTTTGTAACTGTAACTCATGGGGTAAGTCGATCGTAATTCTCGCCAATTCTGGATAAATAATGGTTGGAACAAAGCTGTGTTTTTCCAGTGGCAATAGACTTTGACTGTGAATTTCATTGTTATCCATTGTATCGAGCGAGACGAAGAAAAATTGGCGATTTTACTGGCTTCGAAATAATATTTGCGCATACGTAGTTATTAATAATGATATTTTTATGTCAATAGTATTTATAACAATATAATTTTCTACGCTCGAGTCTGAAGCAAATGATCAGTACGGTGCACAGCGTGAAAAATATAATAATTAATAATATTCTCATATCCATAACATCGAAATATAACAATTAATCCAAACAAACGACCATTACAATTTATTGTAGCACAGAACAGAATTATACTTTTGATATTTCATATATCGTTTCATTTGTACTTGTCCTGTAGCATTTACGTATTTCCATTTCTATTAGATGCATAAACATTCTCACTGTAATAATCGCAATTTAGCACGACGCCCTCGGTGCAAGCAACCCTTAGTGGAAAATCAATCTTGCTCCGTAGAGATGACAGGATGGCAAACGACTGACACGCATAAATTTCCGCAAAAAGCGTACGGACTTATCGAATTACCGGAGCAAGAGAAAGTTGGTTGGCGTGAGTTTACGCAGTTTCTAAGTAGATGAATAGGGGATATCGCGTGAAACGTGTAGCTCGATCGTGAGTAGAGGGTGGAGAGTGCGGTAAGCAGCTCATTAGAACCCTCCCCGCCGACTGGCCATTATTGCCTCGTTCCGTATTCCGTTACAAATTGCTTTATTAAATTAAAGTCCCACAACCCATACTGTTGTGACGACTCTACGCCTCCTCTTTCCCTTTTCAACCCCCTCTCTGCATCTCCTCTTTGCATCATCCCCCATGTGCCGCGTAAACGCGTCTGACCGCGTGCTGCCTTCTATCCTTGAACCCTTCTTAATTACCATACCAACAATTTGACTTAATATTTTTCCTTTGCATTTTCTATTATATCTGTACGAGGGGTTCGTACGATATTATCTAGTTTTTAGAATTTTTCTTACATATTTTATTAAATGCCAGATTTCTTAATTATCATACCACCAATTTTACGCAATTACCATGTACCAACAATTGTACTTAGTTACCATACGCTCATCTTTCATATTCCACTTAAAACTATTACTATTACTCTCTCGCGTTTCTCATTTTCTGAACATTTTTCACTTCACTCAAAATATTTATCTTCGCCACTAAATCTTTAACATTCTTCCGCTAAGCAATTTAATTTAAAACTACCCCACACTCCTTTATTTTTCACCCCTTCAACGTCCATCGAAACCATCTTCCTCGCTTTTCTCAACATTTTCTAAATCAACACTTACGAACTCATATTCTATTTAAAACCACCTTATCCTTTCTCTCTATTCCTTCAACATCCACCACTCCATCAATCGAACACGTTCGCCTCCAGCACCAAATTTCTAACATCCATCTCCTACTAATCGATTCAATTTGAAACTATCACACTCTCCCCTACCTCTCATTCTCTCATCGCCCATTGAAGCTATCTGCCTCCTTCTTTCAACATCTTCCACTACAACACTCGCCATTCATATTCTACTTACCTCGTTCTTTGCTTTTATCCTTTCAACGTCTATCACTCCATCCACCCAAAACATTCATCACCACCGCTAGATCCTTAACATCCATCTGCCGCTAAGCAATCCCATCGTCGAGCCAATTCAGAAGGTCCAGGTATTTAATAGAAATATAAAACCATTCCCATGGATGTAATATAAACGGTGTCCCGTGACGGTCGTTGAAGGATCAGCACGCGAGGCCTGTGCAACCGATCGACCTAACAGCTCGGAATATAAAGCACGTGGGTATCGACACGGCGCCTTTATATTTCCACTCGTAACTCAAGTCAGCGAAAGAGAAACAAAGCGATACGCGAGCAAGGGAGAAACGGCAGGAAGAAAACGATAGAACAGGGTAGAAAGAGCGTGGAGTACACCGCAGATACGTCCATGCAGTTAAAATATTGCCCAGAGTTATTCACGTGAGTGCGGAAAGCAGGGGCTGGGCCTCGCAGGGATACGAGGGTTGATATTGAATATGATATTCCGGATACCGTGGCGGACCACGGTATACCCTCTTATATTCGTCCCACAGTGACATCCGTGGCCGACACGACACGCTGGAACAACACGCGGCCCCGTTTCCACGTCCACGCCCATCCACGCGTTCCTGCGTACTTACATGCCCGGTATCCTCTCTGTCTCGTCGCCCTTCTTGCTACACACACCCCCTTTAGCATCTAGTTTCGCTGGATTAAGTACCATACACACGGCGAGACTTGTTTCGTATTGCTTATGGAGGGACGATTAGGTCTTTGGATACAGTGGCGTGCAAAAAATTTCTGGCTAGATATTTCTTTCGCTTTGCATTGGAAATTTGATAAAAGGATTTTACCCTTATCTGCCATAGACGTGGAAACTTACGCAACTATCACAGGAGATCACACAGACTGATAAGATTTATTGCATTATCTATTCATTGTTATAGTGCAGAATACAAATCAAGTTCGAGCGTTTTTGCTTTGTACGTTAATAACGAAGAGATCAGAACCTGAGTACGCGATGGCAAACGTATTGAAAATCTCTTCTCTGTAATTATTTGCTGTCATGGAGAATATGAAGAATGAAAAAGAATAAAAAAAAAGAGGAGCGGTCTCGCGGAAGTTCCGTGGTGGTTAAGAATTAAATAATATTGGGTAAAAGAGTATGATGACCAAAAGAAAATAGTATAACACATGAATATTGTAGTGTTGCTGTATGATATTATTTAAAGTTCTTTATAATACCGATTCGGCGTACGAGGTGTAACAGAACGCACAGGACTCACTTCGGGAGCTGATCGTACACCTAAAAACAACGAGGAAGATTCGTATAAACTTGTGTTCTATCTGTCTTCGTTTATGAGATATAACGAATTTCCTGTTTTGATTTTATTTAATTAACATTACGAAAGATGTTCAAATCGATCACTTTGCGTTTCAAGACAGGTCTGTAGACGTTTTGTCGTGGAGTCAGTCTGAATAGAGTTCCTGGTGTTTCCCGAATTTGTTAGAAACCTTTTTCTCCTGTAATGTCTCCTGTACATAATATTATAAATTCGTTGCATCTCATAGACGAAGACAAATAGAGCATATGTTTATACGAACATTTTTTATTGTTTTTAGGTGTACAATCAGATCCCACATATTCTGCTACACTCTGTATACAGTGAAAAATATACCTGACCAGGAATTTTTGCATGCTGTTGAGTAGGTAAAGATAATAGATAGTTTGGACGAACTATTGCGAATATCTTGAACAGATTTTCATAAACGAGAGTTGTGTACATTGATAAAAACATAAAAACATAAAAACATTTTATATTATCCATTCCTCCTGATAGAGATTAGTAATAGTTAAATTAAAAATTCCAAAATTAAGCGATTTGACCTTAAATTCTTACGATCTCTAATAACACAATGATACCAATTAAAAACTAATTGTTAACGTAAATAACGTAAAGAAAAAAAGCAGTAATTCAAGATGAATACGAATTGGTCTTGAGGACACCTTTGGGTAAGTGACATTCCCTAGGGTAAGTCCCTATCCACATTCCAAAAATTCATCACGTAGATTTCCTATTAGCTACCTGTTTGATATAAATATACAATTTAAACCTTGCAAATATGTATATTTCTCGTTTCCATATGATTTATCTGTCTGTACCTATGTCACAGTTCATGATGGCTATGTGCTAACTCTGAGATGGTGTGTAGGGTGCTTTAACTTTCGCTCGGTGTTCTTCTGCTCGTAGAACGGTTTCATCCCCTCGAAACAGAGGCGGGTTTTTGGTTTAGGTGGTGTGCGTGGCTGGCACATGTGCCACCGGCGGGGCTTGATGTATGCTCTCGAAAGGGGATGCTCTTTCCACCGACGTCACGTGTTCTTTCACTTTGTGTTTCTGATTTTTCCGCTCTTTTTTTTCTCTGCGGCTGCCCTTAATCGCTTTCACAAATCGCCTGCGGCCTCCGGCTGCCTGAGAATCTGCCCTCCAGTTCGACTTTTCGCGAGTGAAGCGATTTTTGGAGGGTGAAGGTGAAGATGCGAGCAGACGATGATGGGCATTTAGAGGAAATTCCGAGATTTTCCTATCCTTTTCATTTCTACTTACGCGGCAGACGCAGTATAATTTCAATCTACTGTAAGCTATCATAATATGATAGTCTAAGTTAGGTTTTTAAATCAGGATGTTCAGGGAAATTTCGAGGAATTTGGTATCTTTTCTCTTTTTAGCGATGAGAGGAACGTTAAGTATCGATTGGTACTGTCGAGTCTGCACAAATGATCACACTTTATTACAAACTCTTTTTTCACACGCAAACGAAACGTCGCACGATATAAAATTAATGCTAATATGATAATTATCTAAATTGTTCTAGCTTCGGAGAACGTTCTGTGCGTTCAGTTTAAGAGAAAATATACAGTCGCCAAAGAAGTTTACGTGCTAGTGAATTGCTATAGCGTATAGTAGAGGTGTGAATATACAAGAATGCCTGACTCTTCTACTAACCACATTGATTAATTTTCTGAAGAATCTTCGAACACAGTGTCAATGGCAATCCTCTTATGTCTCAAGGTCGTAACGTTCAACGAACGCGTGATATCTGAACAGCCATGGTCACCGGCGGTCGATATTAATTTTTATCATCGATATTTTCCAAAAACTGTATTTTCCAAAAGGGTTTTGTATTATAATTACGACATTCTTATCGTAATTACAAATACCATACAAAAATCTACCGTATCGTACATATGTATTGAATTAAAGACTTAACAATAATAGAGGAAAAAAAGGGAACGGAAAAAAGCGAAAACGAGGTGGTTGAAGTGAAAAAGATTGGATTCAAAACATTGATCGGTGAGGGTGCTGGAGATATTTCTCTGCCCACGGGATATTTCGTTTCGGCCGATATTAGTACAGATTTGACAGCTGCTCGTGTTTGCTTTTGCGGCGAGGAAATCGGTTGACCAAAGTGAAGAAACACGTGTCGCCGGGCCACGCTAAATACCGCTTCACAGATCTAAGAAAACAAGTTTTTTATTCGTAGACAGGAGAAAAAATTGAAGACGAACGAATTGACGAAGGCTTGGAATTTAACTCCAAAAGTTTTTTCCCCCCGAAGCAAATATTGGAACTTAAGTAGAATTAAGACGATCTACACATTTACTTTATTAGGCTATATTTTACGTTAGATCAATTTCTATATATATTTAGTGTTATGTATAGTGTTTTGCTCGTTACACGGCACAATAAGGATGAATTAACGAAGAGTAAGAAAGAGTAATTAAAATTTTAGAATATCCGAAAAATTCCAGAAAAGCCACGCTTCTTTTAAAATTATTATATAATTTAATTTTAAAATTGTAATAAATGTTTTCTTAGTGAAATTAAAAGACGATGTGTCTCATTCGTTAAATAAGAGATATTAACGACTGAAATTCAAAATATTACAAAATTTCAGAAAGATACATCTTTTCTGCTAACTCATTTCAAAAATAACATCGCGCATTTTAATCGAACGGAAAAAATACTAACAATTAAAATCTTCTAATTTCATATTTTCTTAGATATCTGTTAAAAAAGTTTCAGAAAAGGAGTACCTATGTTTCCTTGTATTTACAGTCTTGAAATACTTAAAAGAAGTGTCTTAGCGTTCAATGATAGGCGAAAGAGAATATTGCAACAAACTCAAGAAAGAAGTCTGTTTTCACGGAATTACGTTTTTTCTACGCATGTTTTACAACATAATGCAAACATAAAACTCTCCACGTTACGACATTCTGTTTGTTATCCTATTTGCGAAACATCGCGAACAATCTCTGTTCTAATACATTGAAACGAAGAGTATATTTGGTAGTAGGCGAAATATATATCTCACGAAAGGAAACTCACGTGTGTGTAGTCTTGCTCGCCATCCCAGGGGATCACTGACTAATCCCTGAAGACCTGGCCAATAGACAGCAGGATGCCGTGGCTCCGTTCTTTGTTGGAATTGCCCGATACCTGCATTCAAAGCAAACACGCCATGAACATACGCGTATACATAGATACTATCCTCTCTTCTTTAGTTTGCCCGCTGTATTTGCCGCGTTTCATTCTTCTTTATCTTTGTCGTCTATCTTGAGATTCTCAAATGTTTGTAAAATTCTTAATATTTAAAGAAATGTAAAATTGTGAATTCTTCTGTGTTAAATGTATGGTTTCATTTAATATCTGATGTATAAATATACAGAGTATATATGTATATAAAGAAAGGATAATACAATAAAACGATGATATCAAGTGTTAATGAATAAATCGAGAAGATCTTCTGGATTATGGACTTTTCTCGGGATATTCCCCGTTTACCGATTATCGCAATTTTACAATTGACGAATCATACCATATATGCCTTTAAATTACCAAAATACACAAATAATACACCGAGATACAAAAGGGTTGAATGGAAAAATTGCATTTCGGGAGGGACGCTCTTTTCCGATTTAATATTTTCCAACGCACAAAGAAATATCGAATAAAATGGAAAAGCGAAACATCAAAGAATATCTTTAAACCAATTATTTGAATACGATCAAAATCGCGTTATAATTCTCCTGCCATACATAATCATATGAGAAATAATAAAAAATAATATCTGTAGCGGCACATGCGTCAACGGAAGATTTGAATCGAAAGAGACTCGTATTGTTGTGCCTTAAAGCGCCAACGTTGTTTTGATTTGCTAAGTTCAAGGTAAACAAACTCCGGACAAAATATTATCACCGTTATTTGTAATCGTCAACCGGAGTTACATTCGAACCTTCTATAATAACATCGGTCGATGTAAATAGACGAACGTGCTCTCTAGGACAGTCATTATAACGAGTCATTATAGCGAGGCACACAGTCGACTAGCGAGCGTAGAGTTGGACAGTAGCATTGAGCGAGCGACGATTACGACCGGTATACACTATTTTTGTACTTGTACTTAAAGTAATTTTAATATAATCGACTATTACAATTTTATCACTTGTCTTCTTAATAAACCAAATAACGCGTATAATAAACCACCTCAAAGGTTTGAATGATATTTAAAAAGAGAAATGAAATGAAATAAGGTGAAACGAAGTCTGAACAACAATTATAAACAGATAAACACAATTGAAAAGATACAAGTAAAATACACGAATGCGTAATTTTCTAATATACAGCGTTATAGAAGCTCAATTAATCCTCTTTTACGAAATAAATTCAATTTTCTGAAATCATTTTTGTTAGTCAATTTTAAGTGCAATAAATAAAATAAATAATTTTAATAAACCAACTTTAATAAAGCAACCAACACGTTTAATAATAACAGCCTCATGCGTTTCTGCTTATAACGTCTTTAACATTTTCTGAAAATTTAATAAGTTGGCAAATATCTTCGCACGATAGCGTGTAATCCTGTAACAGAATTCTAATAACGATTATTTTATGGAAAATGTAACAAGATGTCGTTTAGGATACCGTGGTGATTTATGTAGCCGAATGGCGTGACAATATGACAGCAAGAAATTCCAACAGGAAAGTGATGTTATTTGTATCCCCTTCGCAGTTCCCTATATCTTTCAAAGAGATCGCGCCAACGTCGGAAAACCGCAACGCGACGCGTGTGGCCACGAACAATCCAATCACAAGAGAGGTTTCTACTCTCGCAAAAACTGTTTAACCCTTTCAAACCTATCGTCGAAATTACAGTTGCTTTGCATCGTTTTAAACGGAGGGTCGTCTATAAAAATTCACATTGTGAAGTTCACATTTTTAAGTTTGCATTGTGAAATTGAAATTTACAGGGTGTTCGTTCGGTCACTTCGCGTGTAAATATCTCGAAAAAAATACGTTCTGGGTAGAAATGTTGAATACGAAAGTTTTGCCGTTTCGAGAAGAAAATAAGTCTACTATCCTATTTATTTTTCTCTTTTTTGGAGGGAGGGAGGTGTCTCTAAAGATATTTGAAAAGTCAACTTTTGTCTTTCAAGTGGGAATCGTACTTTTCCTTCGCGGATTTTTATTCTACGTGGAAAAAGAAGAAACTTTTATGCACGTGGAACATTCTTTTATCAGACTTCATTTTAAAAAGATATTTTAATAAAATACATACTGATTTTGGTTTCGCTATTCCCCAAACGGATGATGTGAAAATCAAGCGATACGAATGGAAGTTCTTCAATTTTTCCAGACATTATTAGCTGATAAGGGAAAATCAATAAAAATTCCACTCTTTTATGCTACTTTTTTATTACACAAGGAATCACGGTAGTTTCACACGATCCTCTCAAGATAGCAATCGTAATTACCATACAAATCGTAATTTGAAATTATCTTGTATTTAAAAATTCGATTGTAAAATATCATTTCAATTTAATAGAATTCTAAAACAATTGGATTGTAAATATTAACAAATTTTATTACAATCATCTTTTCATTTTATACTTTCATATCTTCGACCAGATCTTCGAATACTCGAATCTCCAAATTTTTGTCAATTCATAATTCCTATAAAATTCTAAATATTTTGGTTTCCGATCGTTTAAATCTTTAAATCTCTACAACCTTCTGAATCACCGATCCTTCGAATAGAAAATATATTACGAAAAAAACCCATCTTAGATTTTAAAACTTCTCGAAAGCTCCTTAATTTTCCTGCACGGTAACCTGACACGAAACGTGTTAACCAAAGCAATTACAACCGGAAGACCAACGACCGTAATCACGCGTTCACAAATTACTCTGAACCCTTTTCCTTCGCTCTTAACCTAACCACCTAACGCTCGCTTTATATCAGGTTTATAAAATCCCAGTTGGTAATATTGTTGCATTGGTCAGTCGTTAATCGTGGCTGGTACAATTCGAAGAAAAATCGTACGGTTCTTTCTTTTCCTTTCCTTTACGAAATCTCTTTAGCCGTCTACCAATAAAACGTTATTTCCGTTTTTAGTGTTCTAGCGGTTCTCGGTTCAAGAAACCGGTGCTGGAAACGCAACGCGTTCGAGATACGATCGTTACCCCTTTTGTCCGTTACGTTCCGATCAAATAAAATTTATTGAATCGTAAAAACCAGGGCGATGCTGCATGCTCATCAACAAAAATATTCGGCATCGGTGTCGTAACTGCTCGTCGAATCGCTGGACTCACCGATTTTAATTGAACCTCCAACAGAGATTTTTACGGGGCGTGCGTGGTCTTGGAGTTTTTCAGGGAAAATCGGTTTAGGGAATATCGAAATGATTTTGGAAGAAGGTGACCAAGTGAGCGGACTAGCGATCGTGGCTTAGAAAAGAATGTTTCGTTAATAATTAATTTTCGAGAATAATAATGTGTTGGCTATTGAGAGTATCAAACTCGTGGTGTAACATTGTATTTATTGGAGCATTTATATAGATACTGATTAAATTGGATCCACGTACGTTGGTGGCCATAAGCTCGTGTTAGCACATCCCGCGATACTCAGTAGAAATTGAACGCTCGTCGCTGTTTTCACTTTTTAATTATTTTATCGTAAATTCGATGCTTCGTTCGCGTTATACGTATCTTATGACGTAAAGTAGTAATTGTAGCTAATTTGGAAGAGTATCCAATATGGATGTGTGGAACGTTGCAGTATCTCGGCAAGTAATTAACAAAATCAATCGCCAACAGTGTAAGATGGTCCGTTAAAAGCAAAGGACGAGCACATTCACGTTTGAGCTTCACTTGGAAATCTGTCGGTGAATGCAGTCGATCGTTGTGTTTGAAAGCCTATAAAAGTTCTATAGAGGCGAGTTAAAATAGTGAAAGTTTTTAGCGAAGACGAGTTAAAGAATATTACTTTTGCACGATTTATCGTTAAACGTGCTTGTTTCTGAGTATTGGAAAAAATGTAACTAAATTTATATGAACGTTGAATTTATTTTCTTCTTGGTATAATTATTATTCTTCTGTCGAAATACGTATGTACCTAATACGGAACACATCGAGTGTGCGTAATATGTAACGTGTCAAAGATGCTGCGATGCTTAATAATGACGATACAAAATTATATTTATCTTGTTGCGGCAATTGCAAAAGATAATAGCGAAGAATAGGTTCAGTTCGCTATCTTCATTAGAAACACGAACAACGTGCTTCTAAGGTGTGTCGTTCAACGTGTAGAAGACAAAAAAAATTAATACAATGCAAGCTTAAAGAATGGAAGATATTTGTCCATTTGTCTTCTTTATTTAAATAAATATTCATTTTTCATAGTAAAAGTAAAATTGAATGTAAACTGTTGAACTTTAGCTCGTGCGAATATCTGCTTTACTCTAATAGCTGAGATTCGATAATTCTGATCATCTGATTATCTTATATCATACAAAAAGAATACGTACATAATTTTTTCTAATACAACGTGGTCAAATTCAAACGCTTGCCGAGTAACATAGAAAAATCAACGATACGATATTAGACAATACTCAAACATGCAGTAATAACATTTTTTAGGAGAATTCGTGGTTGAACCTATTACGATAGAAAATAGGAAATAGAAAAGGGAAATAATATTCGGCTACGTAAAATTAAAGCGTTGCTTCTGTTTCGAGTGAGACGGAACGGGGGTGAATTATCGCGAAAGCAGATGCAGCCACGCCGGAAGCCAAGAGGTGGCTGAATGAACACACCGACGCGTATCGAACCTGCGCATTTCGTATTGCGCGACATGCATTGCTCGCCCATTTTACTCGGGGGCGGGATACATGTTTATACAGCGTGCTCGATGAAAAGCGTACTCGCGACATTTTCCATCCTCCTGGTAAGGAAAATTGTGGCCCTATGTAGAGGGTTAATGAACGACCGTTTGCTGTTGGAATAATTTCCTTTGATTAGAAGGAATTGTAATTGATGCGTCTCGTGATACCCGAATTTTCTTCACCGAAGACGTATTCAGAGATGTTTAAAGAGAGGTACAGTTGACACCACCGTACGAAATTGTCGTAGGCGAAAATTGACGAAGCGTTTCTTTGTTC